TGGGATAATTGGGAAATGAAAGAAAGAAAGATTAAGAAAGAATAAAAGAAAATTAAGAGATTATAGGTAAGAATAAAAATTGGAATGAAAGAGAGAAAGAAAGAAAGAAAGAAAAGAAAGAAAAAGATAGAAAGATAAAAGAAAGAAAAAAGAAAGAAAGATTATAGGTAAGAAAAAAGAAAATTAAGAGAGGATGAATATGAGATAATAATTGGATATGAAAAAAGAAAGAAAGAAAAGAAAGAAAGAAAGAAAGATTATAGGTAAGAATAAAAGAAAATTAAGAGAGGATGAATATGAGATAATAATTGGGATGATGAAAGAAAGAAAAAGAAAAAAGAAAGAAAGAAAAAGATTATAGGTAAGAATAAAAGAAAATTAAGAGAGGATGAATATGAGAGATAATAATTGGGATATGAAAGAAAGAAAAAAAAAACAAAAAAGAAAGAAAGAAAGATTATAGGTAAGAATAAAAGAAAATTAAGAAGAGGATGAAAGAAAGAAAGAAAGAGAGAAAGAAAGAAGAAAGTGAGAAAGAAAGAAGAAAGAGAGAAAGAATAATAAAAGAAAATTAAGAGAGGATGAATATGAGATAATAATTGGGATATGAAAGAAAGAAAGAAAAGAAAGATTATAGGTAAGAATAAAAGAAAATTAAAGAGGCTGAATATGAATAATAATTGGGATATGAAAGAAAAAGAAGAAAGAAAGAAAGAAAGATTATGAGAATAAAAAGAAAAATTAAGAGAGGCTGAATATGAGATAATAATTGGGATATGAAAGAAAGAAAGAAAAGAAAGAAAGAAAAGAAAGAAAGATTATAGGTAAGAATAAAAAGAAAATTAAGAGAGGATGAATATGAGATAATAATTGGGATATGAAAGAAAGAAAGAAAGAAAGAAAGAAAAAAAAAGATTATAGGTAAGAATAAAAAGAAAAAATTAAGAGAGGATGAATATGAGATAATAATTTGGATATGAAAGAAAGAAAGAAAGAAAGAAAGATTATAGGTAAGAATAAAAGAAAATTAAGAGAGGATGAATATGAGATAATAATTGGGATAAGAAAAAAGAAAGAAAGAAAGAAAGAAAAAAGAAAGAAAAGAAAAAGAAAGATTATAGGTAAGAATAAAGAAAAATTAAGAGAGGATGAATAAGATAATAATTGGGATATGAAAAAAGAAAGAAAGAAAGAAAGAAAGAAAGATTATAGGTAAGAATAAAAAGAAAATTAAGAGAGGATGAATATGAGATAATAATTTGATATGAAAAAAAAGAAAGAAAGATTATAGGTAAGAATAAAAGAAAATTAAGAGAGGATGAATATGAGATAATAATTGGATATGAAAGAAAGAAAGAAAGATTATAGGTAAGAATAAAAAGAAAATTAAGAGGGATGAATATGAGATAATAATTGGGATATGAAAAAAAAGAAAGAAAGAAAGAAAGAAAAAAGAAAGATTATAGGTAAGAATAAAAAGAAAATTAAAGAGGATGAATATGAGATAATAATTGGGATATGAAAGAAAGAAAAAGAAAGAAAAGAAAGAAAGAAAGATTATAGGTAAGAATAAAAGAAAATTAAGAGGGATGAATATGAGATAATAATTGGGATATGAAAGAAAGAAAGAAAGAAGAAAGAGAGAAAGAAAGAAAAAGAAAGAAAAGAAAGATTATAGGAAGAATAAAAAAGAAAATTAAGAGAGGATGAATATGAGATAATAATTGGGATATGAAAAAAAGAAAGAAAGAAAGAAAAGAAAGTGTAAAGAATAAAAGAAAATTAAGAGAGGATGAATATGAGATAATAATTGGGATATGAAAGAAAGAAAGAAAGAAAGAAAGAAAGAAAAAGAAGATATAGGTAAGAATAAAAGAAAATTAAGAGAGGATGAATATGAGATAATAATTGGGATATATGAAAAGAAAGAAAGAAAGAAAAAGAAAGAAGGAAGAAAAAAGAAAAGAAAGAAAGAAAAGAAAGAAAGAAAAGAAAGAAAAAAGAAAGATTATAGGTAAGAATAAAAGAAAAATTAAGAGAGGATGAATATGAGATAATAATTGGGATATGAAAAGAAAGAAAGAAAGAAAGAAAGAAAAAAAGAAAGAAAAGAAAGAAAGAAAGATTATAGGCAAGAATAAAAAAGAAAATTAAGAGAGGATGAATATGAGATAATAATTGGGATATGAAAGAAAAGAAAGAAAGAAAGAAAGAAAGAAAGATTATAGGTAAGAATAAAAGAAAATTAAGAGAGGATGAATATGAGATAATAATTTGGATATGAAAGAAAGAAAGAAAGAAAGAAAGAAAGAAAGAAAGATTATAGGTAAGAATAAAAGAAAATTAAGAGAGGATGAATATGAGATAATAATTGGGATATGAAAGAAAGAAAGAAAGAAAGAAAGAAAGAAAGATTATAGGTAAGAATAAAAGAAAATTAAGAGAGGATGAATATGAGATAATAATTGGGATATGAAAGAAAGAAAGAAAGAAAAGAAAGAAAGAAAGAAAGATTATAGGTAAGAATAAAAGAAAATTAAGAGAGGATGAATATGAGATAATAATTGGGATATGAAAGAAAGAAAGAAAGAAAGAAAGAAAGATTATAGGTAAGAATAAAAGAAAATTAAGAGAGGATGAATATGAGATAATAATTGGATATGAAAGAAAGAAAGAAAGAAAGAAAGAAAGATTATAGGTAAGAATAAAAGAAAATTAAGAGAGGATGTATATGAGATAATAATTGGGATATGAAAGAAAGAAAGAAAGAAAGAAAGAAAGAAAGATTATAGGTAAGAATAAAAGAAAATTAAGAGAGGATGAATATGAGATAATAATTTGGATATGAAAGAAAGAAAGAAAGAAAGAAAGAAAGAAAGATTATAGGTAAGAATAAAAGAAAATTAAGAGAGGATGAATATGAGATAATAATTGGGATATGAAAGAAAGAAAGAAAGAAAGAAAGAAAGAAAGATTATAGGTAAGAATAAAAGAAAATTAAGAGAGGATGAATATGAGATAATAATTGGGATATGAAAGAAAGAAAGAAAGAAAGAAAAAAAAGAAAGAAAATTAAAAGAAAATTAAGAGAGGATGAATATGATATTAATTGGGATAAAGAAAAAAGAAAGAAAGAAAGATTATAGGTAAGAATAAAAGAAAATTAAGAGAGGATGAATATGAGATAATAATTTGGATATGAAAGAAAGAAAGAAAGAAAGAAAGATTATAGGTAAGAATAAAAGAAAATTAAGAGAGGATGAATATGAGATAATAATTGGGATAACAGGATAATATGAAAGAAATATGAAAGAAAGAAAGAAAGAAAGATTATAGGTAAAGAATAAAAGAAAATTAAGAGAGGATGAATATGAGATAATAATTGGGATATGAAAGAAAGAAAGAAAAAGAAAGAAAGATTATAGGTAAGAATAAAAAATAAAATTAAGAGGATGAATATGAGATAATTATAGGGATGAAAAGAAAGAAAGAAAGAAAGAAAGGAAGAATATGAGATTATAGGTAAGAATAAAAGAAAATTAAGAGAGGATGAATATGAGATAATAATTGGGATAAAAAAAGAAAGAAAGAAAGAAAAAAAAAAGATTATAGGTAAGAATAAAAGAAAATTAAGAGAGGATGAATATGAGATAATAATTTGATATGAAAGAAAGAAAGAAAGAAAGAAAAGAAAAAAGATTATAGGTAAGAATAAAAAAAAAAATTAAGAGAGGATGAATATGAGATAATAATTGGGATATGAAAGAAAGAAAGAAAGAAAGAAAAAAGAAAGATTATAGGGGAATAAAAGAAAAAATTAAGAGAGGATGAATATGAGATAATAATTGGAATGAAAGAAAGGAAGAAAGAAAAGAAAGAAAGAAAAGATTATAGGTAAGAATAAAAAAAAAAAGAAGAGAGGATGAATATGAGATAATAATTTGGATATGAAAGAAAGAAAGAAAAGAAAGAAAGAAAGAAAGATTATAGGTAAAAATAAAAGAAAATTAAGAGAGGATGAATATGAGATAATAATTGGGATATGAAAGAAAAAGAAAGAAAAAGAAAAAGAAAGAAAGAAAAATTATAGGTAAGAATAAAAGAAAATTAAGAGAGGATGAATATGAGATAATAATTTTGGATATGAAAGAAAGAAAGAAAGAAAGAAAAGAAAAAAGAGAAAGAAAATGGAAGAAAGAGAAAAGATTATAGGTAAGAAAAAAGAAAATTAAGAGAGGATGAATATGAGATAATAATTGGGATATGAAAGAAAGAAAAAAAGAAAGAAAAGAAAGAAAGATTATAGGTAAGAATAAAAAGAAAATTAAGAGAGGATGAATATGAGATAATAATTTGGATATGAAAAGAAAGAAAGAAAGAAAGAAAGAAAGAAAGAAAGAAAGAAATAGGAAATAAAAAGAAAATTAAAGAGGATGAATATGAGATAATAATTTGGATAAAAGAAAAAAGAAAGAAAGATTATAGGTGAAGAAAAAAAGAAAATTATAGGGAGGATGAAAAAAAAATAAAGATTGGGAATGAAAGAAAGAAAAAAGAAAAGAAAGAAAGAAAGAAAGAAAGAAAGAAAGATTATAGGTAAGAATAAAAGAAAATTAAGAGAGGATGAATATGAGATAATAATTGGAAAGAAAGAAAGAAAGAAAGAAAGAAAGAAAGAAAGAAAGAAAGAAAGTTATAGGTAAGAATAAAAAAAGAAAATTAAGAGAGGATGAATATGAGAGATAATAATTGGGATATGAAAAGAAAGAAAGAAAGAAAGAAAGAAAGAAAGAAAGAAAGAAAGATTATAGGTAAGAATAAAAGAAAATTAAGAGAGGATGAATATGAGATAATAATTGGGATATGAAAGAAAGAAAGAAAGAAAGAAAGAAAGAAAGTGTATAGGTAAGAATAAAAGAAAATTAAGAGAGGATGAATATGAGATAATAATTGGGATATGAAAGAAAGAAAGAAAGAAAGAAAGAAAGAAAGAAAGAAAATTAAGAAAGATGAATATGAGATAATAATTGGGATATGAAAGAAAGAAAGAAAGAAAAAGAAAAAAGAGAAAAAAGAAAAAAGAAAGAATGAATAGAGAAAAAAAAGAAAAAGAAAGAAAGAAAAAGAAAGAAAAGAAAAAGAGAGATAAGAAAGAAAAAGATTATAGGTAAGAATAAAAGAAAATTAAGAGAGGATGAATATGAGATAATAATTGGGATATGAAAGAAAGAAAGAAAGAAAGAAAGAAAGAAAGAAGAAAGAGAGAAAGAAAGAAGAAAGAGAGAAAGAAAGAAGAAAGAGAGAAAGAAAGAAGAAAGAGAGAAAGAAAGAAAGATTATAGGTAAGAATAAAAGAAAATTAAGAGAGGATGAATATGAGATTATAATTGGAATAAGAAAGAAAGAAAGACCTAAAGAAAAACAAAAAGAAAAAAAGGTTATGAGTAAGAATAAAAGAAAGTTAAGAGTAGACAAAACTGAAAATAGGTATGAAAAAGAAAGAAAGAACTAAAGAAAGAGGGAGAAAGACAGAAAGAAAAAAGAAAGTAAGATAGAAGTATTGTAAGAATAAAATAAAGTTAAATGAAGATCAAACTGAAAATAGGGATAAGAAAGAAAGAAAGAAAGAAAGAAAGAAAGAAAGAAAGAAAGTAAGAAAAGTTCATGAGTAAAAATAAAAGAAACTTAATAGTGGATGAAACTGAAAACAGGGATAAGAAAAAAGAGAGAAAGAAGGAAGAAGAAAAAAATAAGAAAAAAAAAAGATGAAAAGTTATATTGGTTGAATGAAATAAAAAAGAGAAGAAAAATCAATTGAAAATTTAAAAGAAAAATTAAAGAAAAAGAAAAATGAGGGAAAATTTTAAGTAAAAAAGGAAAAAAGAAAGAAAAAAAAAGGAAAAGAATTAATTTTTTTCTTGTACAGAAAAAAAAAACAAACTATTTTATGACAACTTCTCCCTAAATGAACTTATCTTGCTTATCATTATAATTATTGTCTTTGCCGTTATCGTTAGAATTCTACAGAGATCTTAGATGTAACAATATCAACAAGAAAGCAACTTTATACTCCATTCAAGTTTTCTATTAACAGTGTGCATGCATCAAATGTTTCCCACTTGTCTGATTCCATTCAGACTCTAAATCTGTAAAACTGTTCATATTCTTTCCATGAAAAAAGGAAAGTGATTTCATGTGAAAGGCATGAATCCATCTTTTCCACCGCTATATGGGAATAATAAGACACCTCTTTAGCATTGGTAAGGCTTCCCATCTTCAAGGAGGGTAAACCTGAATTCAAAATCAGCTTGAAGTATGATGAGGTCTGTATAGTTTATCATGACCAACACATCCCACTGCTGCAATACTTTTGATTTTTCAATAACCATACAAAAATATTTATTATCTGAGAAATTGTCCATTAAGATGACACATAAACTTTTATTTTAGAATTACATATCAAATGAGAAAAAGTAATTGTGAGTAATTACTATTTAAGGTAAGCATTCTCAGCAAAATACGGCTATTATATTTAGTATAGAATTTACATTGTAAATGATTCTATTGTAGAATTGGATAGAAAATAGAGAGAAAGGGATTGTCAATAATCAAGAATTAAAGCAAGCATTAGGAGTAAAATAGAACTGTTCTATTTATAATGGTAAATATATTACTATAGAAATGAATTGCAAATAATTCTACTATAGAATTGCATTGCTAATGATCAGAAAGGGATTGTCAGTGATCAAAAATGAAAGCAAGTGTTAACAGCAAAATCAGTCCATTATAATTATATTAGTAAATATTTACTATAGAAATGAATTGCAAATAATTCTACTATAGAATTGCATTGCTAATGATCAGAAAGGGATTGTCAGTGATCAAAAATCAAACAATTACTATAGAAATGCATAACAAATACAAAAAAGTAATTGATAGAGATCAAGAATTCAAGTCTGATTCTTAAAATATTTTATAGGTCTTCATTCAGTGAATCATTTCTGAAAGCCTTTTTAAATTTTTTGCTAAATTTCACCCAATAGAAGACTCAAGAGCCACTCATGGTAGAAGATTACTGAATGAGAAGCATTAAATGAATATGAGGAGAGGGAGAAGCAAGTAAGGATGATAAAGATAAAGAGGATAGGAAGCAATTCATCCTTGACTTGAAGACGATCAGATTGTAGCATTGATGGAAGCAGCCACACAGAAGTTTGTCCTACAGAGTAGCAGGTTTGGGAACATCTTCCTTACAAATAGAATATGGAGGAAATGTAGGTGATTCAATGTAGATATAGCATGGCAAGTCTTGAATGAAAAGGTCTGAACTGGCGGAAGTAAAGAATGGAGATCTGAATCTTTGCCATGTAAATAAGAGACAGTGTAGCAATAGAATTGCAACACTGTCGCTTTGCATTGGGTGATACTGATTAAAAAAAAAACACATTATTTCTTGATTTTTTTTAATCATTTCACCCCCCCACCCAAGTAAGGTGATAATGCCACTAAGATGCAGAGACTGCAGGGAGTGAAAGAGAATGAGAAAACTTTAGGAAAGGACAATAAAAAAAACTGGTTTCATGAAGACAGAAGATGGTAATTTATTCTGCGTTTAAATTTTTGGAGCTCATAGGTGGCACGGAAGAAAAGACATTTAAAGTGCATTCTGCAGACAAGAAGTGCAAGAACAGAACCTGTTAGAATAGGTTGCATCTAGTTCAAGTGTAAAACAATGAGACCTAGCTGCCAATCTAGTAAAACAGTTAAATTCATGTAGTTTAGGCACTAAGGACGAAAGCTCATCAAAACAATTGCCATGAAAATATTTGTAGAATGGATATCTGCAAAAGTTATATGAGAGTGATGGACATGGATATCAAGAGACAGGATGATGTTGCCAATGATTACTCATATTGGAGACACGATTTACATCCGTCAGGGTTGGAGTGATGAGAGAAGGAAATGATGCCTGCTGCTGTGGTGACACTGGTTGAAGAGTGCCTTCACATGCATTGGTTGAAAACTGAACTGGGCTGTCACTCCTGTGTGGGCCTGTACAGCCATAACGGATGATGCACTGCCATCAGCAGCTGGGGGATAACTCTTTGGATGCAGATGCAGGGCCTTTCATGACTGACAGATGCCACAGTGGCCTAAGAAAATTTTTTTACCAGGAGAAATAAACTACATCTAATTTCAAAATTCAATTACATAATCCCTACTCAACATAAATAAACAGTATTTGGAACTGGTATAGAGTAGGCCCTTCATTTGCTAGTTTCAGTGACTGTATTCGATTTGTCATGGATTTGATCAAGTTATCAACAATTGTCTGATCCATATTTTGCCAATCCTTTAGCAATGTTTCTTTAAAGGTTGCACGTGATTTTGATTGCACGCTCTCAAAGTCTTTGGTCAAGGTGCTCCCAAACGTGCTTGGATTAATGTCTGGATTATGGGTAGTGACTTGATTCCTTGCTACTCCTTCCAGGCCTTTGTTAGTTTGCTAGTATGACATGGCATTCCATTTTCTTGATTAGGGTAGACATTCTTGTCAATCTGATTGGTTTCAAATAGTGGGCATAGTCCTTTCTCTAATATTTGATAGTATTTTGGACCATTTAAACACTCAACAATCAGCTCAGATTTCCATCCAAACCAGACAGGACCCCACACCATTACTTCAATCCCTCCAAGTTTCATGGTTGCCTACAGACATTCAGTGTTCCAAGTGTCATTCTGATTTCTCCAAACATAAACCTGCCTCGAATTAGAATATTGGCAAAATTTACTTTCATCTGACCAAATTACAGACTGCCAAAATTCATAATCTTTGCTCTTGAATTCTCTCGCAGTCCATATGCCTGTTCCTATTAAACTCTGAAATCAAGGTCTTCTTTCTTGAAACTCTTCTTTGATAGCCTTGCTCTTTCAGAATCTTTCTCACCGCATATGGCAACATTTCCATGCTGTTGACAACATCTTTGACACTCTGACAATGGTTTCTGATGACTTCCCTCTTAAGCGCCCTTTTCGTTCACTCAGACACGATGTTTGGACTTCCTGAACACTGTTCTACATGACAATGGCCTTCTTCATTAAATTTCTTGACAATATTATTAACAGTTTGATGATTAACCAGGAAAAACCTAGTAATTTCTTTATTTGACTTGCCACACTGATGCCATCCTATTATTTGCCCTTGTTGAAATTCACCAATTTCTTACTTCCACAAACTTTCATTGCAAAATATAAGTCAACTATCGTTCATAGATGAGAGTAGCTTGATGCTAACATGGTATTGTCTGAAAATAAAAGAAGAGACATTATTAAACAAGCCAAAATTGCAGTAATCAAGGATGGTTAAAAACTTATAGCCCACTCTAGTTGGGAACTGATAACATTGGAAATGCTTTTGATGAAGATAAGTATCTCTTACAAACTGTCAAGGGTCTTCTCAGAATTCTGAATACAATATTGCTGCCTTATAAAAATATTACATCAAAGGCAGAGAAGCAAAAAGAAATCTATTAAAATTGGTTAAGTCATTATATCCTGTGTTATCGACTTCCTGCCAGCTTTTTAATATTGTTTCCACTTCTTTTATGGACCACATCCCTTCAGGCTGTCAGTGATTGTAGCTCACCATGATGACTTGTCCTTTGTTGCTCTAAGTAAATGTTTTACCAGTTATCATGCTTCATTGTAACAGTCCTTAGGTTCATTTAGACAAACTTGTTAAGTAGGTTTCAATGCTGGTTTCCTCTGGTTCTCTTTACTCTCATATGTGCTGTAAGTGTTAAATTCTCCAGGTCTTCTTTCCTCATTATGTGTCTTAGAATCTAGGTATGGTTAAATATAAACTAAACACCATTACCATCGATTCTTGAATTTCAAGTTACCACTATTCAGTGAAAGCATAATATTTATTTTAATTGTTACATATCACAGTAAAAAAAGAGAAAAAAGGCAAAAATTCAGCCAGGCAGCTTGCTAGATACAGAGATAGCTCACTAACTAGATAGATAGATTTGGACAGAATGAAATAGATAGATAGATAGATAGATAGATATATAGATCTGAAAAAAAGACTTTACGTACAGACTAAATAAAATAGAGAGAGAGTAGAGAGAGATAGCAATAGAGAGACAAAACCTAATAGATAGATAGATAGATAGATAGATAGATAATGAAAACCTGAGAGATAAATATTAACATGCTAAAATTGATAGCTAATTAGATAATGAAGAGATTGATATATATATATATATATATATATATATATATATATATAGATAGATAGATAGATAGATAGATAGATCTGAAAAAAAGATTTTACATACAGACTAAATAAAATAGAGACAGAGAGAGAGATAGCAATAAGGACGCAAAAACTGAACAGAGAGATAGATAGATATGAAAAAAGATTTTACTTACAGACTAAATAAAATAGAGAAAGAGATAGCAATAGGGAGACAAAAACCTAATAGATAGATAGATAGATAGATAGATAGATAGATAGATAGATAGATAATGGTATAGATAGATAGATAGATAGATAGATAGATAGTCACTTAAACAGAAAATGAGAAAGGATAAAAATAAATAAAAACCCAAGACTGTAAAAGAAATGTTTAACCCAACAGAAGTCAGGAAAACAAAAGCTGAAATGGAAGTCAACAAATTAACTGCTAATTAAGTCTTTCCAAATGCTATTATTTCCTTCTTCCTTTTATATTTCCTCTTCCCCATCTTGAAACTTGCCTTCTACTCAGCCATGTTTATCACTTATGAGGATTTCACTTGAAATAATAAAGCAAAATATTCAAAATCTCAGACAGAAATTGTATTAATCATGGTTCAAAGAGAATGATTGATGGTAACTTCATTTATGTAGGATGCCATTATGACCTTGAAAATGCCTATTACAAATAATTGCCTTCATGACCTTGAAGACAGATTCTTTAAGACCTGCCTATTACAAGTGATATTGCCCTCATCATGCTGACAATAGACTGATATTGCCCTTATGACAAGGGGCTGATATTGCCTTTATGACAAGGGGCTGATATTGCCTTTATGACAATAGACTGATATTTCCCTTCTGACAAGGGACTGATATTTCCCTTCTGACAAGGGACTGATATTTCCCTTCTGACAAGGGACTGATATTGCCCTTATGACAATAGACTGATATTGCCCTTATGACAAGGGGCTGATATTGCCCTTCTGACAAGGGACTGATATTGCCTTTATGACAATAGACTGATATTGCCCTTCTGACAAGGGACTGATATTGCCCTTATGACAAGGGACTGATATTGCCCTTATGACAAGGGACTGATATTGCCCTTATGACTCTGACAATAAATTCTTTAAACCTGCCTATTGCAACAGATATTGCCCTCAGGACCCTGACAACAGATTCTTTAAACCTGCCTATTGCAACAGGTATTGCTCTCATGACCCTAACAAGAGATTCTTTAAAACCTGCCTATTTCAACAGATATTGCCCTCATGACCGTGACAATAAAATCTTTAAACCTGCCTATTGCAACATGTTTTGCCCTCATGGCCCTAACAATAGATTCTTTAAAACCTGTCTATTGCAGCAGGTATTGCCCTCATGACCCTAACAAGAGATTCTTTAACACCTGCCTATTTCAACAGATATTGCCCTTATGATGCTGACAATAGACTGATATTGTCTTTATAACAATGGCTTGATATTTTCCTTATGAACTTGATATTTTAAACCTTTAGAATATAAAAATAAATATGAAATGGAAATAAAACAACTCTAAGATTCCTAAATTATTTTGGATGTAATTCTATACAGTAACTATAAAAATGATATTATAAATCATAAGAATTAAGCAAAAAAAGAAATAAAACAATTGTTAAGTTCCCAAACTGAATATTTTAAACAGTATGATTCTCCTTGAAGAATTCAATGCGCAAAGACATTGTACATTCATTACACCAAATTATCACTGTTTCTTAACTTTTTCTCTTCCAGAAGTATGCATATAAGCATAGAATTCTCTTTGGCTTATCATTTTAGATTTATTTAGAGACAAATACTCCAGGAAATTATGTAGCCTCATGAATTCAAGTAAATAGTTATCTTATGAATCCTAGAGTTGCCATTTAGTCATTCAGAGTTAAATGAATAAAAAATATCTGTATCATTTGGAAAAGTTTAAAATCATCTATTAAAGATATCCGCTGATATTCAATGAAACATCCTTGTACAATCAATGAAATTAAGCTACAGTGAGCCAAGCTAGTGCCTAGATAAATAACCGCTTGCAAATATCAGGGGCTGTAAGCTTGTGAGGCAGATAGTGTAATGGATAACAGCTTGTAACTGGAAATTGAAGAGCCAATTCCCAATTCTGGTTATATTTACTTATGCACTAACCCTTCAGGGAAGGTATGAATCTGTCACTTCTCCCCTATCTATGGGTTAAATTGTAGGATGTCTATGAGTAAATAATTATTATCTCCAAAACATTCTGACAATCTAAAAGTATTTTGTGGCTTTAAATAAACCGCAAAGGGTTGAGAAGCCTTAAAAAAATGAATCAATCAATAAAACATCAATGTACTATTTAAGGGCTAATATCACTTTAATTGTATAAACATTAACTTTCATAATAAAATCTGAAATAGAGAATTTGATTCAATTATATCTAGATGAGGTAGATTTTATTTTTGTATAACAATGAAATTGATTCTTGCTAAAATCGTCAATTGATCACGTTCAATGCTTTATATAAGAAAATATCTCTTCCTTTAAAAAAAAAATCTTTTCACAATGTTCGAACAACAGATTGTTTAGAGAATATCCATGGAAACAGGGTTTTAAAAGATGCTTTTAAAATTTCAGAAATTGCTGCAGGTAAGTTCTAATCTATTTCTATGTTAATGACTGATAGAAGAAAAAAAGCAAAAAAAAAAAAACAAATTTTCACTTTCGTATGTTCTGCCATGTCAACAAGAATAAGTAGGGTCAAGGTTATGAAAAGGAAAGCTGTCAGGACTGCTTATAAATGAAATGCATTTTCCGTCTCTCCCACACACTTCGATAACGTCCTGAAATTTGTATGATATTATCCTCAGAATATAAAAGTATTGTACTTTCTTCCCAAAAAGTTAAAAAAAATCATTACAAAAATGTTGGATGGCAGTATGTAGCGACTAGGAAAAGAAACATGTGAGTGAAAGAGTTGAATATTTTCCCACTCATGCCAGAAGTCTGTGTTGGAAGTCAAATGCAGATTTTCAAGATTAGATAACCATTTCCAAACTGTACTATTTTATTCAAAAGAGCCTGACATCTGATCTCACCTCTGATCTAGCACTAACAGCGCAGTGGGAAAAAAAACTAGTTGGCCACATTAAATGACTCAACAAACTAAACAGGCCATTTCTTAATTGTACTGTTTTATTCAGAAGGGCCTGATGTCTGATCTCACCTCTGATCTAGCACTAACTGCTCAGTGGGAGAAAAACTAGTTGGCCACATTAAATGACTCAACAAACCAAACAGGCCATTTCTTAATTGTACTGTTTTATTCAAAAGTGCCTGACATCTGTTCTCATCTCTGATCTTGCACTAACAGATCAATGGGAGAAAAAACTTGCTGGTCATATTCAATGTCTGAAAAAGCTTTTGGAGTGTTTAAAGTGGTTCATTTCTGTTTTTCACCCGGATCTTTTTTGATCCACCTTGTTAGAAACAATTCATTTTTCATCATCTGCAATCATTGTTGCCAAAATGGGTTGTTTTTGCTGCTTTTGAACAGAATAACCTGAAATAGAAATGAAGTTCATTAATTTTTTTTCCTCTTAAATTATGAGGCACCCAATTCATGTATCCATCTTTTCCAAATCCCCGACAAAACTTATATTGCATATGTAGAATATCTCTGCAATGCCTGCTGTCATGTAACCTCATTTAGCTTTAATCAGCATTTGCATTTGGTCATCGTCAATGGCTGAAGACTTACTGGAATGTTCTCAGTTTTCTAGATCAAAATTTCCATTTCTGAAACTAGAAAAACATTTATGAATGATACTATCAACTATAAAAAAGCACTAAATGCTGAATATACATGTTGCTTTCATCCATTTTTACTTTTAAAAACATTTAAAATTTGTAGTCCACACCTGAATGTTATAGAAGGACCCATCAATATGTCACATTTCAGAATATGTCACAAAATTTAGTCATGTATGAAAAAAAAATCTCCTGTTCAAATGTGACCTATTGAAAAAGACTACAAATTTTTGTTCCAGTAATGGTAATGGTAATATTAACCATTTTCTTATGAGGACACATTTGCCATTCATTAAACAACTAGTCATTGCTACTTACCTTTGTAGTGGGAGTTCTCTTTGAACAGACCAGCCTGCATGAATCTTGGAATTTTTTTGTTTAACATTGAACTTTATGCTAAGTTTTAAAAATTTAATTTTTGAACGTTCTTTTGCTGATTATTTCTGACTGAATTCTTGAATTTTCCTTTTCAGTTTTCTTTTACCCTCACCCAATTCTTATTTTATCTTTGTTTTCTACCCATTTTTTTATTAGGCCTCTTGATTTACTTTAACCTTTTGAATAATATTGAACTTATTTTTTTCTGTTATTTTGTATTCCCCGCTCGACATTAATTTCTATTTATCCTTTGATTTTCTTTGTATATTTTTGTGTTACTTTGTTTATCTGTTTAATTGTCCTCAGTGATTAGTTCACATAACTTCTCTGTTTCATTTTCTTGTTTATCTTTCAGTTTCTATTTTGTTTTATTTCTAATTTTTATTTTTGCATCAAGACATTTTTTGTTTTTGTTTGGCTATATTGTGTTTAAGTCACAAGACTTGTTATATTTACATGTTTCATTTTTTGTAATATTTTTGATGTAATGAATATGCATACACCTGAATTCCCACTCACAGTAATATGATTGGCTGGTGTCAGCCATAAACACAGACTGATGTGGAGATACTATTAGTCTATGCCTATGAGTCTACACCTATGAGTCTATGCCTATTGATCAACAGCTATTGGTCTACGCTTATTGTCTATGTCTATTGCCTACACATATTGCCTACCACTACGACGAGGACCAGTTCATTATGGTTACATGCTAGATTGTCCTACTCGGTTACAGTAGACAACAACCACTTAGCTACTTTGAGCAAATACATCCCTTTCTGGGACATATCAATTTTGTTTCCCTATTTTTTGCTGTTGTAATTTAAAAAAAGGACCTTTTTATACATTTATATAATATGTTTTTTTGTTTTCTCATCAGTCTTACATTGCGTAATTTTTTGTTTGCTGTTTTATTAATTTTTGCACGTCTAACTGCTTTCGTTTGAACTAAGCTTTTATCTTTTTTCATTATATCTTGTTAAACGTGTTACTTCTTTTTGTAGAAAGAATTTTGTGTTTTGATTTTTGCCTCTAAACTTTATATCGCTTTATCTTTTCTCCTCTTTTATAATTTTATTTAATTTCTATCTTTAATTTTTGTTTTCTTTAAAAGAAAAGGAAAAAAGAAAGAAAAACGTTTTGCTTTGAAAAAAATTCTGTCTACAAAAAATACTATATTTTAAGCTTAATTTATTTATTTAAATAAAAAATAACAACTAAAACAATATGGCTAACAATTTTATATCAGCCAAAAAAATAAATATTTTTGGGCCAGAAAAGGAAAAAGACCCTTCCTGATAAGGCTAAAGGAAAAGATGCTGACTCATTGAAAAATCAATAGTTAAAAGAAAGTATGATGGCCGGTAATAGCCAAAATCTGGGAGAGATCTTAAAAACATCTGGCCAGAGAAAACAGACAACAGTCAAATGTATGGTGGCTAGTAATAGATAAAATATGGGAAGATCATAAAAACATCGGGTCATAGAAAACAGTCAACAGATGAAAGTATGGTGTCTGATAAAGACCAAACTTCAGAAAAATCAATTAATGAGAAAGGCAAGTGTAAGAACAAAGATAAAAATGTAGCAGTCAGGGAGACACCCTCTTGCTGGAAGTCCCCACTAAAATGTATAATCAGCATAACGGAGTTCCTCAAGAAAGCGAAGATCTATGCACATCTTGTTACAGAAGATGGGCAAATCCGGTGGAACTACAGAAAGTTGAAAAAAGTATTGTGTCAGTCTTTGTAGTGAACAAGTGTTCACACAAATTTGTTGCCCTATGAAAGACACCGTCATAAAATCTGACGTCCCTGGGAGATAAACCACAGTGAGTAATGGGTAATGACACAGACAGGCCCATTCCCTCTACTAGTTCTAAGGGCGATTCCCCGACCAGCTACGCCGATCAGCTGGGACAACAGAAAATGAAATATGAATCATCTTTTGAGAAAGCCGAGAAATTACAGAAGGTAAAAGAGGGAGTAAAGGAGAAGCATCTCTCTAAAAGAATTGGCCCTTCTTGCTCGGCATCGTCTTCCCCATCCACAATACAACACATCATGACTCTGTTAAATCCCTATCTTCCACTCCTAAAATGACCAACTTAAAGAAAGCCCCCATTTCCAAATCAGCATCAAAGAAAAAATCTACTCCTACCAATACCCCTAATCCATCCCCTGTACAAACCCCCATCACCTCACCAAAGAAATCTGAAAATACAAAGCGACAAAGAAGTCCATCACCCGAGTTTATTGAATCAACAAATAAAAAAAAACGTCTAAAACGTTTTTATAATAAAGAGGAAGATGTGTGCCGGATTACAAAGTCTCAAGAATAGAAAGCTTTAATTCAATCGAGGAAAATTAAAGACCTAAAATTCTTAATTAATTTCAAAACTTGAAATGGTTTAGACATTGAAGGCCCGAGAAATTTCCCCAGCAGATTTGGAACGTAGTGGATGAAGTGAACCAATGCTTTTGGAATGTTTCCATCAATAGCCTTTTATAATGATGCAAATTCAAAAAAAAATAAAACAGTTTTGTTCTGGGAGATTCCCATTTTTAGTTCACTCCTCACTTTATAGGGCATTGAAATTAACATTTTCCTTGGACATTAGTGGCTTGTCTCATGATAGTACCTTCAATACTGAAACTTTAGGTTTAATGAAACAGGCGGTCAATGTCCTCACCCCAACCATGTTCAATACAGAAGAGCAACCCTAACCGTTCTGATAATGGCACTCTAGTTAGCTAGTGTGAATGCCTGGTGCTGAAGTCGAGGTCTCGCAGGACTAGGTTCTCTCGTGACTTTTGGCATCTCTGAGTGAATGTTTATTGTGTGCAGGAGACCCATTTTTCAAATGTGATTATGAGGGCATTCTGTCTAGGGGTTTTTCCCTCTATTCAGCATGTTTTGAAAGTCACTCGAGAGGAATTTTCTGGCTGGAAAGTAAGTCTTTGAACGCCTTGTGTGCTCTTGTCCTCACAAATCCAGCGGACAGGCTTTGCATGCTTGTTGTTGCTATAAAGGATAACACTCTTCGTCTCATTGGGGTTTATGAGCCCAATCACCATTCTGAGCAGCCTGATATGTTTTGGAAGATCAATCCGTTTTTGATAACATCTTGTCGGTTAGTTTTAGCTGGCCATTGGCATGCCATCTTTGAGCCCGATATAGATCGTATAGGGCCAAGATTGGGTACTAACAACCAATACGTGAAACTATTTCGGGACTTTATCGATAAGTTTGAACTTGTCGATAGGTACCGTAATGAACACCCTCAGGAGATAGCAGCGGATCCACTATGGAGGTGCGTTCTAGCTACCCGGATCAAGTCTTAGTTAGGAGAGTCGATGTAGGGCTCTTAGGGTGTCCAAGTTTCCATTATATAGTTTACTCAGATCTTAGGCTCGTCCGGGTTCGTGTAAACTTAGATACGCCTAAGGTTAAGATGGCTGTCTACTAGAAATTGAACTCATCATTATTTGGTGAGCAAGATTTCCAGGACCACCTACTACCAATACTACAGCGGGAAATGATAGTGGCTGTTGTTGGTTATATGTGGTGAGATAAATTAAAAACTAAAATTAGATCGATTGCTGCTGAATATAGTCGTCTGCTAAATCTAGATAGATTAGCAGTGCAAACGGCATGCATGAAAAAAGTGGACCGGGCGGCAAAATCCTGTGATAGCGTGGACGTAGCTTTAGCTAACGCAGAGTTGGCCTCTTTGCTTATCAAGAACGATCAAGCTCTGATAGGGCTAGGTTAAAAAGAATATCTTCCGAGGCAACGAATATGGCTGCTGAATTGTGTGCAGAGGAATTTTTAGGAATGCATCTCGTCGACATTTCGTGTGTGTCACATTGCTGGGTAATTGGGCCATGACTACAAACGCAGGCATATGTGAGGCTTTTCATGATTAATTCCAGGATCTGTTCACCAGGGAGCTCGGACTGAGCACTGATCAGTTCGACACCTAGTTAGCTGACTTTTCCTGCCTCGAGGCAGCTGAAGCGGCTGGGGGAGAGGGTCCCATCACAGATTCGGAAATCTGGGAAGCACTGAAGCAGATTGGCCGGGACAAATCTCGGCGTTTAGATAGTCTACCCTACGAACTGTACTTGATGCAGTCACCCGTTTTCGTTCATTTGCTGGCACTGATCTTCAACAACTGATTGAAGCAGGGGTCTATACCTCAACGCTTACTAGGGGTGGGATCAGGTTGTTACGCAAGGACAAAAACGGTAGGGCTGGGATAGGTCTCTTTCGGCATTTAACGATGTTAAATACAGAATTAATGATTTTAGCCAAGATCTTAGCCAACCTTAGCAAGGTTGTCCTCTCTAGTCTGATTGGCTCCAAAGAGAATTGTGCTGTGAAGGGCAGGAATATTCAAGACAGCCTTCATATGGTATGCTTAATCATCGAGCAAGTCGACAGTGAAGCCGCGCTGATCGATTTCTAATGTCTAAGACATTCTATAGAGTGGACCATCGATTTCTGGAGGTTGTCCTTTCGGTGTCCGGTTTTGGGCCGGACTTTCGCACATGGACCCGACTTATGTATGCCTCCCACGGTGCGCTGGTGGAAGTGAATGTGGTTCAATCGGAGCCTTTCATATTGTCTCGCTCTATTCGTCAAGGTTGTCCGCTTTCGCCTTTGCTTTACGTTCTTGCTTTGGAACCTTTCCTTCGCAAGTTAAAGACGTATCCAATCCTACGTGGAATTTCTCTACCTGGTGCTACCACCTCGGCCAGGTATTCTGCCTATGATGACAACGTTTTGGTTTTTGTATCGAGCAGAGCAGATATTGACGAAACCAGGAAAGAAATCAGTGATTATGAGATGATGACAGGGTCCAAGATCAACCGTGATAAGTCTGTTGGCTTGCGGTTGGGTGCATGGAAGATACTTTCTCTTCTCAGACCTTTCCTTTGGACGGACGGGGCGGTCAGGATACTCGGCGTCTGGTTT